TCAGTGTGCTCAGGAGTGTTCACACAGATCTTTAAAGAGGAGAGAGGACTGTACCAGGACAAGGTGTTCTGTCATCCATCTGAGTGTTCAGGAGTTTCTGGCTGCTCTTCATGTCCATCTGACCTTCATCAACTCTGGAGTCAATCTGATGTCAGAAGAACAAACAACATCCAGGTCTGAAGTATCAAGAGAAAAACCTGACCAAGACTTTTATATCAGAGTGGCTGTGGACCAGGCTTACAGAGTCCAAATGGACACCCTGGACTTGTTCCTCGCTTTCTCCTCGGTCTTTCTCTAGAGACCAATCAGAATCAGCTACGAGGTTTGTTGACACCCACAGGAAGTGGCTCACAGACCATCAGAAAACAGTCCAGTTACATCAAGAAGAAGATCAGTGAGGATCTGTCTGCAGAGAAAAGCATCAATCTGTTCCACTGTCTGAATGAACTGGAATGATCGTTCTCTAGTGGAGGAGATCCAACAGTCCCTGAGATCAGGACGTCTCTCCACAGATAAACTGTCTCCTGCTCAGTGGTCAGCTCTGGTCTTCATCTTACTGTCATCAGAAAAAGATCTGGACGTGTTTGACCTGAAGAAATACTCTGCTTCAGAGGAGGCTCTTCTGAGGCTGCTGCCTGTGATCAAAGCTTCAAAACAAAGCTCTGTATGTGTCCACATACTATCCAGGTTTAATGTAGTTTCTCTTTATTCAGAAATAACAACTATTGTTTTCTAATTGCTTTCATTTGTGTTCTTCTGAATCCTTCAGGCTGAGTGTCTGTAACCTCTCAGAGAGAAGCTGTGAAGCTCTGTCCTCAGTCCTCAGCTCCCAGTCCTCTAGTCTGAGAGAGCTGGACCTGAGCAACAACAACCTGCAGATTCAGGAGTGAAGCTGCTGTCCTCTGGATTAAAGAGTCCTCTCGTAGACTGGACACTCTCAGGTTAGTGTGCAGCTGATCAGATTATTCCTCTAAGATCATTTTCTTGATGAATCATATAATCAAATGTTCCTTTATGAGTGGTTAAAGTTTAGTTATGTATGTTACCACATTGACTGTAAAGCTCTTGAGCTCGTTCTGTGTAGTTTGTTAGCGGGTGGTGTTTGTGGTCTGTTAGTGTGTTGTGTTGTGTGTGTGTGTGTGTGTGTGTGTGTGTGTGTGTGTGTGTGTGTGTGTGTGTTGTGTGTGTGTGTGTGTGTGTGTGTGTGTGTAGTCTGTCAGGTTGTCTGATCACAGAAGAAGGTTGTGCGTCTCTGGCCTCAGCTCTAAGCTCCTCCCACCTGAGAGAGCTGGACCTGAGCTACAATCATCAGGAGAACGAGGAGAGAAGCTGCTGGCTGCTGGACTGGAGGATCCACACTGCAGACTGGAGACACTGAGGTACAGACAGACTAGAGGTCGCGTTAACCGAATATTCTCCGTCTTTGACGAATTTTTTGAACAATGACGAAAAAAAATCTGAAGGTTTTGACTGATTAGAATCACTGGGTGTCCACCACTCCTTTCTAATTCTCACACAACTCTGTCATTAACCACATGTAAAGCACCTGCAGTAGACCTCCCAGTCCAGTTGGTGGCGAGTGTGCATAATTAATTAGTTATTGTCTTGTCCTGTAGGCTGACCTCACTTGCATGACTTCGTTGTCTATGGTTGTTTTCATAGCATGGTTAAGCTATCTGCATGATGGTCACAAACTGTTGAAACAACAGTGTACTGAGTTCTTTGAAAAAGTGATTTTGCTGGTGATGATGGTAAACGTGGTGAAAAAAGAGGGACTGATGCGGTGGAGGAGGCTAAAGAATAAGCACCTACAACTGATGAAGATAATCAGCAGGTAGCAGCTAAAGCTACGGGACAAGCAAGTTGCAGCAATGTGGGAGCAAGGAGGGATTACCGTGTTCAATGGGAGCAAGAATTCCCGTGGCTTCAGAGCAAAGATGACAAAATGTTCTGTGACGTCTGCAGAAAAACTAACATGAGTAACAGATTTACCAGACGGTGCAAAACTTTGAAGAAATCTGCACTGAATGATCACAAAACCAGCCGAAGCCACATTATGGCTTCCAGGGTGGTTAGCCAGAGTGCTGCAATTGAAAAGCATGTTGCACACAAATGTGTCAGAATGACAGTCCCTACCTCGTAAATATTCACTGTGGTGCACACCGAACTGCACTGGCTGCCCGCGATGCCTCCAGGGTAGTGCGTTAAATCAGTACTTTACCGTAAAATCCAGAATATAAGTCAGACCGGTATATAAGACGCACCCTGTTTTTAAGGTCTCTTTGAGAGAAATAAAAACTTTAAACTGTTTTCCTGCGTGACGACTTATATTGTGTTCAGCGATTTCTACAACGTGCATTTTCTGTACAGCTGTGTCGCTCTTAAAGTCCCGTCTTTTTCACCTTCGGGAGTTTGCGCTCCTACTAGCTACAGTACGGTAGTTGAGCTCTCAGCCTGCAGGGAAAGTTGTGAGGCAGAGGCACAGACTCCTAGCTTGCAAGTCGCGCTGCCCACTCCTCTGGTCACTCTTTAACTTTAATATAGGATCTTTCAATCAAAAGAGAACTCCACAAGGTCTATTTACTGGAACAATATACCACTGTTTATGTAAATGCATGATTATGACCTTGTGAGGAAGAAAAGATGTGAAAAAAAGTCACGCAGCCACGCTGGTCTGTGTCGCCGTCTTTTCCAGCACAGCGTGCAACCAGCTTTCAATACACAATGAATGGGGAAGGGTTTTTGATCGCACCAGGTCGCAGTAGTGGCAGCTGCACCTGCGGTAATGACGGCGCGTGTTTCAGTATTTTATACTGGTGTGTAAGACGCAGCCAACTTTTAAGACGAAAAAATAGGTATTAAAAGTGCGTCTTATACACCGGATTTTACGGTATGTGACCACTATCAATAACATCTCACCTACTACAAGAATTCTCCCATCCAAACACACAGACTATACAAACTCCAAAATGAAATGGAGGAAAATTATCTGCTGAGCCTAAAGCAACCATCGGCAATTTGCAGGTTGTCCCTGGAGAGGGCAGTTAAGGTGCTGGAGTTGGAGGAGGAGGAAGCTACAAAAAACTGCCCGGTAGAGAAAGGTTTAAGAAAATGACGTACACGTTCCCTGCATTGACCCACTTGCCAACGATGTCTTGGCTGTGGTGAACCGCATGAACCTCACTTTCCAAAAGGAAGATATGAACATTTCCTCTATCCAACCTGTCCTCAACATGACCCTTGCTAATCTAAAAGACTTGATGAATGAGCCAGGTAAGCAGTGTTAGAATGTAAGCACATAAGCTAGTACTTCAGTACAAATTTAAGGCATCCAGTCACACTTGATTTGTTCTTTATTCTTCATATACCCCTCAGAGAATAATATTATATTTTTACAACATTAAAACTGTCTGACAGCTTTATAGTCTAACTTTTTAAATTTACAGCCTTCATAAAAAGCCTCGTTAAAACACGTTATTCCAGCATTTTATTTTTCACGAGATGAAAGGTAAAGTCTTCCTTTATAAGTCAAAGTCTTATCTTAGAATTATAAATAAATCATTCTTGAAACCATAGGCTGGAACAAAAGCTAAAAGCTAAAAAAAACTTAATCTGAGTTTTTTTTAGAGAAATGCTTTGTATTTGCCACGGGTAAGGGATACGACTGTCACGATGGTTTTATAGAATATAATACACTGCTGATGAACAAACTAACAACAAAAGCAGTTCATATTTACATTATATCAAACATGTAAGCTCCCACAGAAAAACAACAGACAACATGAATGCAACTGCAGTATTAATATTAGAATTCCAAACTCTGAAGTAGCGCTGGTTATTTCAGTGTCCAGTGTGGCAGCATAGTGAAAGTCTAGCGAGAGACAGACAGATACAGAAGCTGTCTCACTGTTTCTGAATGATGAACTAATGGTGGATTTAAATCTAGATGTATGAAGTAGATTCTGATCTGGTTTCTTCCTCCAGGTTGGACCATGGTGGACTGCACAGACTGGATCCTGGTCTGAGGAAGTGTGAGTGTGTTTTCATTTCTCTTCATCAGAACACAGCAGCACATGTTGGATGAGGGCTGGAAGTAAGACAAAGTGATGATAAAAGTGAGGGTGATGGAAACTCATGAGAGTTGAAATAGTAAACAATAAAAAATATAAACTGAAATAAAAGTGATAATCCAGAAATGTATAATGTTCCAGTTTAAGATGGAAGTCACAAAACGTGTGTGCTCTAAACGATACATTTCTGTTGGATGTGATGAATGGTGATTATCTTATCACTGGATAATCACTTTGAATTTCAATCACAATCACTTCAACACTTCAGATATGGACAGACACACAAACATTTAGACTGCTTCATATTTCACATCACAAGTTTTCATCTCCTCCTTTCTTATCATCACTCTCTGTGACTTCCACCCTCGAGGCTCCTTTCCTTCAATGACAACAGAAACAGTTTGTGTTGACAACCATCAATGATGAATGAAAGACAATTACAGATTACATTTGGCTCTATTTTCATCAAACCATTTGGATCAAATCCACCTGAACTTCATGAAATGTCTATGTTTGTATTTGTTGACAGGACTCGTCACTTTTGAACTCAAGTTAAAGAAATGAGTTTCTGTTTTTGTCTCTGATTGAAAGATTTTAGAATTCAGATCAAAACACACAAAGTGAACACAGTGATCCAACTCCAACATATCTGACATTAGAGTCCATGAAGATCAATAATAAATATGTGTTTAGAGTTGATCAGAACAGATAAAGTATCATGAAACAGCTGATTAGTCTGATGGATCAAACTGCTCTTCTTCTTCTAAACCAGTGGTTCTCAAACTTTTTAGACTACGTACCACCTCCGAAAATATTTGGCTCTCCAAGTACCACCATTATGGTAGATCTTAAAATACACTGTAGGCCTATTTCTACACACATTTTAATCAGGAGGTTATTTATTGTTGACTGTTGGCAGCCACACTATAGGACTACTAAGGGCTAGCGCTAGAACTGACACTTAAACTAACTCTGACATTTACCCAAATCTAAAAAAGTGCAGCACAATAAAAATGACAACTTTATACCAACAACCTGTTTGAGAATATTTAATCTCCAGTGTTTCCCTGCTGCATGCCTGAGAGAGAGAGCATACATGCATCTCAACTGAAGCTCCTCCTGGCTCCGTTTTAAAAATGTTCAGCTGCTTGCTGCCGATTGTGTACTGAACTCCAATAAATAACTGAATATCTGTTAATGTAGGTCTACATTAACTGAATATCAGTTAATGTAGACCTACATTAACTGAATATCTGTTAATGTAGGTCTACATTAACTGAATATCTGTTAATGTAGGTCTACATTAACAGATATTCAGCTGCTTGCTGTTGTTTCAGGACTGAAATATAACAGAATATCGAGTGGAACTTTTCAAAACGTGAGGTGTACTCCTGTTGTTGTTCATGTCTGAGCGCGAGCAAAAATTGAGCAGATTAAAGTTGTTTGTTACAAAAACTAGATTAATTTAGAGGGGAAAACACATTTGATATAAATACAACCCAAAGATACAAGACAGGTAAGATAGGAGCACGACAACAATAAAAAAATGGCGTTTTATGCTGAACAGGTTTATTATTATTTTTTTTAAACATTGTGGAGATTTCTTTGCGTACCACCACAGGGAGCCCGTGTACCACCGGTGGTCCACGTACCACAGTTTGAGAACCACTGTTCTAATCCTTTCTGTTCACTGACGGGTCGACACACTAAAGAAGGGCTGGCTCATATGAACATATGATCACATCATGTTTTAAATATTGATCCTAATAAATCTAAATGAATATCTGTAGTGTGAATATTTGTCAGGATGTGTGCTGAGGGTGCTGCTGTTCACGTCCATAGAAGTGACATCATGACACCAAGGAGGAGAACAGGAGTTCACTTTCAGCTCCACTTTGGGATTTCTGTTTTTGGATCAGACCTCCACTTTATTTACTGCAGCTCAAACTAAAGTTTACACTGTGAAGTGGGCGTGTCCTTCTCCTCTCTGTGTGATAGGCTGTTCCATCTTTATCCAGTAAAATGTACAAAGTTTATTGTTGTTATTGACATCGTCTCCCAAAGTCCTATGGAGACAGTTTGATCCCCCAGCCATAGACACAAGGATTGATGAGCACACAGATGATTCAGGGTGTGACTACATCACATTGTGTGTGACAGTGAAAGTGGAAATGAGGCTCCTGTTTGTGCTGAATGTGACCTCTGAGGACAGAACAGTTGGAGACAGCAGATGGTTCACAGCTTCTTTGTGCTGCACTTTGATTAGTCAGACTTTATTCACTGCATGTGTTTGTTGATTTGGATCTCCATTCATCCTGACTGCCATGGTAACTACATTTGAACTAGATTAGAAGTGGATTATTACATTTCAATGCCAAACATCATTCAGTGCTGAATATGAACTGTAAGTTTGATTGACTCTCAGTAAGTGTCAGTAAAGTTGTTGATGAATGAACAGATGATAACCTGCAGCTGTGTTGTTGTTCTCTCCATCAGACGCCTGTGAGCTGGAACTGGACACAAACACAGTGAGCAGATACCTCAAACTGTCTGACAACAACAGGAAGGTGACACGTGTGAAGGAGGAGCTTCAGTCATATCCTGATCATCCAGACAGATTTGAACACTGGCCTCAGCTGCTGTGTAGGACTGGTCTGACTGGTCGCTGTTACTGGGAGGTCGAGTTGAGAGGAGAGGTTGATGTATCAGTGAGTTACAGAGGAATCAGAAGGAGAGGAAACAGTTATGAATGTTTGTTTGGATATAATGATCAGTCCTGGAGTCTGTTCTGCTCTGATGAAGGTTACTCTGTCTGGCACAATGACATAAAAACAAACATCTTCTCCTCCTCCTCCTCCTCCTCCTCCTCTTCCTCCTCCTCCTCCTCTGTCTCTCACAGAGTAGCAGTGTATGTGGACTGTCCTGCTGGCTCTCTGTCCTTCTACAGAGTCTCCTCTGACACATTGATCCACCTCCACACCTTCAACACCACATTCACTGAACCTCTCTATCCTGGGTTTGGGTTTAGGCTCTGGTTAGCAGGTTCTTCAGTGTCTCTGTGTCAGTCTGAGAAACTCTGCTGACTGAAGATCAGCTGACTCTGTTCTCTCTGTTTCAAACTAATGAATTATTCTGATTTCATCACTTAGATTGTAAATGTTTTATCACTCTTACCTGCAATCCTCAGTGATATGAAAAATCATAAAGAATAAAATACTTTAGTTCATTTGTTTTTCTTTTATATTTGAATGATACTGTAACACCATGTTGAGATTAAACAAGATCTTTCTGAGGTACAAGAGAATCCTGGACTCAGAATCAGCTTTATTTGCTAGGTATGTTCACAGATACGAGGAATGTGACTTTGATAGACTGTGTTTTATGTCGAAAAGTAAAACATGAAGTATTATAAAATCATTGAAAACATTAATATACAAGCCTACATGAGACAATAGTGCTGGTGTGTGACGTGCAAAGATGCTAATTCACATGATAATAAATGATGTTATTGTGTAACAGATGGATTAATTTACATGAGGTATTGACCCAACACGACCTCATTATGTATTGATCATGTCAATAGTGAAATGTGCACCCCTGTCTCTGCCCCTGCAGTGTGTGGGTGTGTATCTGTGTCAGTAGTGTGTCTAGGTTAATCAGGTGGTGATGGATGCTGCTGCTGAGTGGAGGGAGAAAAGAGAATTGCCATGACGGTAGTGACCGAATGCTGACACTGAAGCTTTTAAAATCTCAGCTGCTGCAGCCTGCTCGCTCCTTCTCCGGCCACTTCAAACAAAGCCAGCTTGACATTTGAAGATTATAAAGATAGTACATTTTTAAGATTGATTAGCGTGTGTACATAGCTAAATAGAGAGTTGTTTTGTAAATATACTGTATGTAAATTTAAACACTAAGAAATTGTGCACCACACAGAAGTGATTTTCACAAATGTCATTTTGTTTGCTTTATTTTGATGTAAAGAAAGATTAGGGTTGTTGCTACCCACCTTTTGCTTGTTATTTTCTGCTCTGAAGAAA